GACTTTATCAAATAGGAGGTGTCCAAATGGTGAGTGTCCAAAGGAGGGGAGAGGGTGTGACCAAGAAGGTGTCCAAATAGGGAGTGTTTTATAATGAGGTGTAGCTTAAATTGGAGGTTATCCCGAATAAATAGTACCTTATCAAATAGGGGGTGTTTTCCAACAGGTTTGTCCAAATAGAGGGGGAGGGTTCCAAATAGGAAGTGTTTTATAATGAGATATACTAGCTTAAATTGAGGGCATATTGCTCAGACATCTCCCCATCCAATCACTAAACTAATTTAAAAGAAAGTGTGTCTAGTATTGAGGATATTTTATAACGGGATGTCTTACTGTTAATGAATTAGTTAATTAATTTTAATTGAAATGTTTAAACCTTTTATTAATTAAAATTGTGTTAATATTAGAATTGGCTTAAATTCTTAAAGTAACCGGAACAAGTAGGCGTGGCTTATCTTTAGTGTTGTAGGATGGGGGAAGAAAAATTCCCTTTTTATTCGTTTTTAGTCAAGTTGATTTTTAGTTTTTTTAATTTTCTATTAAAAAAATTTTTTTCTTCCTCCTTTCTTCCTCTTCCCTTATTTTTCATCCATTTTTTATTAAATTGACCAACACCTAAAAAACACATTTTTCCATTTTTCTTTTTAAATTGGCGCGCCGAAATTTGCGGATTTTAATTTGCGGACCCGAAATTTGCGGACCCGAACTTTGCGGACACGAATTTTGCGGACCCGAACTATGCGGACCCGAATTTTGCGGATCTGAGATTTGCGGACCAAAAATTTGCGGACCGACAATAGAGTCTACTGAACCTCGGAAATTTCAAAAATTTTAGCCTGCGGCGATAATTAGGATAAATTCAGGCATCATTACCATATGACCTGGCCATATAAATGATTTTTAAGGAATTTTCTCGATTATCTAAATTATGAAATAAATTTAAGATAAAAAACTAATAAAAATTTTCAAAAATCAAGAAAAATCTTGAATCCGGTACGGATCATGATAAACTCTGCCGAAATCCCCGAAAAATAAAATTTTTGATTTTTTCTTTTTACTCAAGTGTCGGTCCTAAAATTTTGGTTCCGCAAAAATAAGGTCCGCAAACTTCGTGTCCGCAACCTTCGGGTCCGCAACTTTCGTTCCGCAAATTTCGGGTTCGCAAAGTTCGGGTCCGCAAAATTCGGGTCCGCAAAGTTCGCGCCACGTTTAAATTTCCTCGCCACAATCAAAGTTGTGACAGTCAAAAATAGTTTTTTCTCTTCCTATGTTGTCCTTTTTTTGAATTTATTTATAAATCTGACCAATTCCCCCTTCAAAAAAAATTAAAAATTTTCCCGGCTATTTTTGAGTCGAGAATAATATTTATTTTAATTATTTAAACCTTTACAGTTGTTTCTTTCAATTTTTTTGCCAAAAATTTTATTTAAACCTTTGACTACAATTTTTAAATTTTATTTTCTGTATCAAAAATTTTTTACAAACTGAAAATTTGGCCAATTTATTTTCCCGTTTTTTTACAAATTTATGATATGTCTGCAAAATTGTAACTAATCTTGACACATTTTCCTGCCCAAAAACAGCAATGGACGTTGCTTTTTTCTGTTACATAAAATGGCCCGGGCTGCTTGAAATAAAGAATATTTCGAATCGAACTGAAAACTTTTTTTGGCAATTTCGTTTCAATGCAAAAACGAAATTTCGAGCAGTCGTTCATTGGAAGGATGATGTTTTGCCCTTCCCTATATATTTTTATTTCATCAAAATAATCCTTCAATTTTTTTCATTTCTCTCAATTTTTTTTTCTCATTATTGTTTTGGGTTTATATTTAATTTAGTTCCGCTTCTGCACAACCTTATCGTTATCAATCAATATATAAAATTGAAAATAAATTTTCCATCCTTTTTAAATAAATATAAATTTTATTTTTGTGGGTAAACATTAACTCGTTATTATTACCTTTAATTTAAATTAATTTTTCCTCTAAAAAATTTTATTTTAATTATTTAAATAAATAAATATCGGAGGGATGCCTAAACTGATTTTAAAGCAAAAAAACGAGAGTTGAAGCAAAACACCCAAAAAAAGCGAAATTCCGCGAGATATCAAAGGCGGTATACCCTCGATTAATACACTATTACCTAGATTACTTTGATTATTTTTTAAAAATTTGAGAAAATCGGGTGTCAAGGGTAATTGTCGGCTTATTTTTAAGAATTATTTAAGAGTGTTCTCTCAATATTTTTCCCAGGCTTGATAATGGATACAGACACAGATAAGTTCAAAAATAAGTTAAAAATGCCTGCGGGTATCCGTCTGTATCCGCCGTAAATATCCGGATACCAAAATCCATATGCATTAACTAGTCTGATTTTTTCTCCTTTTTTTTACCTTTTTTTAATTTTTTTATTATAAATTTTTTTCCTTTTTCCTTCAAAATTTAACAGAAATTTCTCCCCTTATCCCTTCAAAAATTAAAGAAATCCCCTCTAGCATCAAACAAACTTTCAAATAAAAACATCAATCTCTTTCTCTCTATCCTCTCCCCCTTATTTACCCCAACTACCCAACATTAAAATCAATTTTCCAATCAAAATCGATTTTAAAGAGAGAAAGTAATTGAGAAAGCTTTAATTCAATTTATTACCTTTAGAAAAAATTTTTTAATTTTTAAAATTTAAATTCTGCTAAATTCTGATTTTTTAAAAAATTAGTTCTGATTTTTAAATTAATTCCGCCTGCTTCAATTTCCCCAACTTTTCAAGTTTCTCTCCAAGTTTTTAAGTTCAAACTTTATTTTTTGCTTCTTTTTCATGCTTCAATTCTAAAATTTTTTATTTTTAAATTTTTTCCTCCTATAAAAAATATTTTTTAGGGGGAAGTAAAAATAAAAATTAGAAAAAAAATAAAATTAAAGCTGAATATACAAAAATTTTATTTTATTAATAACTGCAATATATTGCTTTTTACCCGGAGTAAAACAGAAGCGTCAGAGTTATTTCTAAATTAAAACTTGAATTTAATATTTTTTTAAATTATTTCATTAAAATATTCCGCCTGCTTCAATTTCCCTTTTTTAATAAAACCTAACTTCAATTAAAATCAGAATTGAAACTTGAAACATTTTTTCTTTACAAGTTTCTGATTATTAAAATAATAAACTTAAGTTTTATTTGATAGACTTAAGTTTTACTATAACAAACTCAGGTTTTATTTATTAAACTTAAGTTTTATTTAATAAGCTTAGGTTTATAAACTTAAGTTTTAATGTAAAATTCAAGTTTATTTAAAATCAGAATTGCAACTTTAAATAAATAAACTTTAAAGTTTCTGATTCTGAAATTCAAGTTTTAATTTAACTGACCAGAATTGCAACTTTAAAACTTTTTTCTTTTCAAGTGTCTGATCAGGTTTTGTTCCGGTTTCTCTCACTTCCAACTTTGTTTCCCTTTCTTTTCTTTTTCTCTTTTTTCTGTTGCCATTTTGTTTATTCTGCGTGTATATTCGCGCCAGCCGAGCTTTATTGTCTATATAACAATGTTTTTCTTTTTTCTGATATATTTTTTTCTTTTGCTTCTTCCACCTCCACATATTATCGACAGCTTTGAAAAGGCAAAAAAAAGTGTGGGGGGAAAGGATGAGCTGCTTATTGCCGTCAAATCGCTTTTTTTCAATTAAATAAATTAAATTATCCTTTTTCAATGTATTTTTTAAAAGTTTAATTTTTTAATTTAAAAATGACTAATAATTTTTATTTTGTTAAATTTTTTCCGTATATTTTGCTTCTAATTTAATTCAAGTTTAATTTCAAGCTTAATTTCAAGTTTATTTATTAGTTTTTCAAGTTTATTTAACAAAAGAATCGCTTACTTTAATAATTCCGCCTGTTTCAAGTAAATATTCTGATTATTAAATATCAGAATATTTCAAACATAATTCCGCCTACCATATTATTCCGCCTATTTAAATTATTCCGCCTGCTTCAATATTTTAATTACTTCAATTACCACTACAATTAAATTAATTTATTAATATTTTTATTTTATTTTTTCTATACTTCCAAAAATCTTTCTCTTCAATTCCTTCTCTTTATTAATTTTCTATAAAATAAAAATTTTTATTTTCTCTCCAAAAATAATCACCTGCCTTTTTACACATTATTATCACCTGCTTCTGCTCTTTCCCGGTGACAGGGAAAAAAGTAAAATAAAAAAATAAATGACCAAAAATAAAAAGAAAGGAAAAAAGAAAATATTTTTTAAGACCAAAAGTCATCAAATAAATAAATAAAACAAAAAAAAAGTTCAAACCACCCAAAAATGATAAAAACACAAAAAATTATAGGTAAAACAGGGTAAAACAACCTTCAAAATTCTCTATTTTTTATTTAATTAAAATGATAAATTTATTTTTCTTTATTTTTAATTGAATTTATGAAACGATAAACGTCTATAAGATACTGTTTTATTTTTAAAAAAATCTGATCGGTTTCGAAGCTCTGATAAAGTCACTCTACATATCTAGTCTAATTATATATCTCTTCTGTTTTGCTTCTGATTTAATTCATGTTTCAAGTTTAATCTTAAATTTGTTTAAGTCAGGGTTTTCAAGTTAATTCGAGTTTAAACTTAAGTTTATTTAATTCAAGTTTAATCTTAATTAAAGTTTATTTAAGTCAGGTTTAATTCAAGTTTCATGTTTATTTAATAATACAAGTTTATTTAAATCAATCCAAGTTTATTTAGAATTATAGGAAAAAAGTTTATTTTTTAATTAAAATAAACTTGAATTTATTTTATTAAAAATAAATAGCCGGATATAAATAAACTTGGGAAGAAAATAAAAGAAAAAAAAGTTGTATTATTATTAGGGGAAGAAAACGGAAAGATCTCTCTTCTCTCTCTAATTCACTTTTTTGTTCCGTTCATTAAAGTAGTCTACTCTAATGCGCAAAAAGTGGAAAAGATGGGTAAAAAGATTTTTCTTTTTAAAGGAAAATATGGAAATTATTTTTTGGAAGAAAAAAAATTATGGAAGAGGATATTTGAAGGATATAAAAAATCCAAGGGCAGAAGAACTTCTTCAAAAAAAGGAGAGAAAAGGGAAAGGAGAGACTTGCCGCTTTCCAACCGGTTTGATTATAATAATAACGCCAACCGGCTGGGAGAGGAAAAAACTAATTTTAATTATGAATAGTAGCCGGAGGATATTTTTATTTAATTTGTGTCTTTTTAAGCATCTTTTATTAACTCTTCCTTTCTTCTTCCGTATTCTTCCCTCATTTTTCTTCTTCCGTATTCGTCTTTCATAATTTTTCTTCTCCTATTCTCCTTCCCCCCACCCCTTTTTTTTACTCTTCCTCCTTCCATCTTTACCCTTATCTCTTTCCTCCATTCGCTTCACTCATTTTTCTTCTCTTTCCTTCATTTTCTTCTTCTTCTTCCATTTTTCTTCAACTTCTATTCCCTCATTTCCCTGAACTTCTCCTTTTAGAAAACACCTCCTACCTTCCTCTATTCCTCCCTTCATTCACTTCCTAATTTATTCATTCTTCGTCATTGTGATTCTTATCATCTTCAACTTTTAGTCCTTTCAGTTTTTAACGTTCTTTTATTTTTCCAAAAATTCTTTTTCCATTATTCATCTTCATAATTTTATCCTTCTTCCGTTTTCCTTATTTTCCTCTTTAAGATTAAAAGGAAGAAAGAAAAATGGACATGACAACAAAAAAAGACGGACTTGGCGTACTCCTCTCTTATTAATCTTCACGCGACTCTATTCACGCCACTGGACAACAGGCTTGAAAAAATTTTGAAGGATTTTTTTGGAAGCTAAAAAAGAGAGGAAATTAGCTATCCCTCCAATAGCACTTTCACTTAGATTTCCTCTTTTATATTTTGGCGATTGGAGAAAGTTGGTTGGCAGTTGCAGAGGCGATCACTCTCCCTCCCCTTCCCCTCTCCCTCATGTTCCTGTTCCATCCAAATGCCTCCGGAATTTTTTCTTTCCCAAAGAGCATCTTCCTCTTTCCTCTATTTTTTATTCTTCCATTGTTGTCCTTTTTCTTCCTTTTTCCTCTTCCTTCTCTCAACCAATCATCCTTTCCCCAATATAAAAACTCTGGAAAAAGAAACTTGCCAGTCGCGCGTAAAAACTTTCTTTTTTACTTGGTTGAGGATCTACTCTTCTCCGGCACATTTTTTAAATAAATAATAGAAAAAAAATATATTTAATTCTCACATCAGCCAGTTCCTTATAAAAAGCTTTGTTTTCTCACATAGCAAAAACAAATAATTTATTTAGGATTTTTATAAGCAGAAAAAAAAATAAATGATTTTAGAGGAATAAGTCTGTGTTTGTATTTTTAAATTTATGTTGGAAACAAAGTTTATTTTATTTTTAATTTCAGAATAATTTGTGTTTTGTGTTGCTAAGTTTTGTGTTTTTGTTTCAGATCAGAATTTGTGTTTTGTTTGCTTAATATCATAATTTCTCATTTCACCATATGTTTGGAAGAAATTCTGATTTCAGAATTTATTTTTTCAGAATTTCTCCAAAACATTTTCAGAATTTCTCCAAAACATTTTCAGAATTTCTCCAAAACATTTTCAGAATTTCTTTAAAACACAATTTATTAAATAATTTATCCCAGGGCTCCGATCGACAAAATGCCACTCAAAAGTATCAAAATCTTGTAAAAAAAGTACATAGGGAGAAAATTTGCAAATAAAAAGTACACTCACAATTAAATTTGAAAATATTTATTCGTGATCAAATCTTTTATATTTCTCTCCTAAATTAATCTTTTCTAATAATTTCTTGTTTCAACTGAGCACATGAAGCAAAGCTCTGACAGTCTTAACCTCAAGCGAGTTTCTTTCTTTCGTCCATTGAGTGTTTGCCATTGAGAAGCGCCGCAGGCGAAAATTTTTTGAAATTTGGAGCCTAAGAAGCCAGATTTCTTCTTTTTCAGCGCCGCAGGCGAAAATTTTGAGAATTTTTGAGGTCCTTAAGCCAGATTTCTTCCATTTTTTGCGCCGCAGGCGAAAATTTTGAGAATTTTGGAGGTCCTTAAGCCAGATTTCTTCGTTTTTTCAAAAATGTTGATAAAAAAGTACATACTTTCAAAAAAGTACAAATTCAATTTCGGAAGTACGAAGGTCGATAAAAAAGTACAATACTTTTAAAAAAGTACGAATCGGAGCCCTGATTTATCCAAATTCTTCCCAATTTTATTTACTTATTTTCTCTTTCCTTCTAATTTCTCCCAAAAATACTTAATCATAAATTATCAACTTGGGGGCATTGTTTTGTCGGCTTTTACCTTTTAAATAATTTTTCGGCTAGATAATGCAACTTAGAAACATTTATATTTTTTTGTTTTTATTTTCTTTTAAAATTCATTATTATTCTTAGCCTCACGCAAATATGCCCTACGTTTTGATAAACGAAATTTTTCGCCGCCTTCCCTTTTTATTTTGGCGATTCTTTAAATTATTTACAAAAATTGTATAATAATGAGGAAGCCTTGGGCAGTAAAATAAGAAAAATAATTTTGTGTTTTTGGCGGTAAAATTTTTTGAGAGATTTTTTTGTAGACTTCATGTTGAGTGCAGCTATAGGCAACTTTCTCTTGGGGGTTTTTTTTAATGTTTTTTACTTGTATTTTACGTCTATATCTTAAAATACACAACTACGATTTTAAGGCTTTATTTTAAATATTAATTTCAGAATGTGTTTTTTGTGTTTATGTTTAATTTAAAATTTTGTGTTTTTCCGTTTCAGAATTTCTTTAAAACTTTTTCAGAATTTCTTCAAAACATTGTGTTTTCTTTAAATAAAACTTGTTTATCAGAATTTCTTATTTCATAATTATGTTTTTAAATAAATTCTGATTTCAGAATTTATTTTGTATTTCTGTTTTTTCCGGTTGCTTATTCTTTTTCAGAATTTTTGTGTTTTCTTTGTGTATAAACAAGTTTTATAAATATTCTGATTTCTATTTTCTTTCAGAATTTCATTAAAACATTTTCAGAATTTCTTCAAAACATTTTTAAAACTTTTCTTTAGTTAAAACTTATCAGAATTTTCCAACAAGTTTTAAATAAATTCTGATTTCAGAATTTCTTTATTTTTTCAGAATTTTCAAATTTGAAACATTAAAAGTAACTTTACGTCACAACACTAACTAATTTAATTTAGTTTAAAGATTCTTTACATAATTACTACATTTAAATTGCTAAAAAAAGTTTTTTTTCAATAAAACAACTTTTTTTTTCTTCATTAAAAATGTAAAAAGACGCCTACGCAATCATCAACGCAAAATAATTATTTAAAAATAAATTTATTTAGTTTATTATTTTAAATATTAGTCATTTTAAGACCTTGAAGTTTATATAAATTTCTGTTAATAATTTTTGTATTAAATTAATAATAATATTTTATATGATTTATGTATGGGCGGTAAAACCTGCCCAACACAATTAACGCCTACTATTTTTGTAAAAGTATTCTGGTTTTTATTATTTTTTCTGATTTGTTCAGATTTTTTTCTGGTTTGTTTTGATTTTTCTCTGGGTTGTTCAGATTTTATTCTGATTTGTTTTTCCGGTTTGTTCTGATTTCTTTTTTTATTTGTTCTGATTTCTTTTTCTGATTTTATTTGTTTTGATTTTTTATTATGATTTCTTTATTCTGATTTGTACTTCTCTCATTTGCTGGTATCTATTCTGATTAATTATTGTTCTGATTATTATTCTATTTTTAATTAAATTTTTATTTTTTAATTAAATCACTACCCCATGTTTCAAATAATAAAATATTCAAAAAAATTATTTTTTTCCTAATTAGGTATTTTATTTTTTTAATTTAACAATTTTAATTAAATCATTTTGTTTATTTAAAAAAGTCTACTTGTCATTTCTGATTTTTGTCTTTAATTGGGGGGGGGGGGCATAGGAAACAGACCTCCCAAAAATGTTAAAAACCACGCCCAATAATTGTATGTACTTATAAATAAAGTGAAAAGAATTTATAGAAATAAATTAAATTACGTAAAATATACTATTAAATTAAATAAATAATTTATGTATTTAAATTTTTGTCTTTTAAATAATTTAATTAATTTTTTTAAAATTTATTTAATTAAAAAGTAAGGGTATCTTAGAAGGAATTTTAAAAGTATTATGAGGAAGGACTATAGAATAGGGATGGATTTGGTTATTCAAAACCCGATATCCGAACCAGAATTTACGAATATCATGTTTTTTCTGATCCGGATCCGCCAACCTTAAAACCGGGAGGAATCTCTTTGAAGAGACTATAACCTTTAGAAGGACTACGAGGAAGGACTATAGAATAGGGATGGATTTGGTTATTCAAAACCCGATATCCGAACCAGAATTTACGAATATCATGTTTTTTCTGATCCGGATCCGCCAACCTTAAAACCGGGAGGAATCTCTTTGAAGAGACTATAACCTTTAGAAGGACTACGAGGAAGGACTATAGAATAGGGATGGATTTGGTTATTCAAAACCCGATATCCGAACCAGAATTTACGAATATCATGTTTTTTCTGATCCGGATCCGCCAACCTTAAAACCGGGAGGAATCTCTTTGAAGAGACTATAACCTTTAGAAGGACTACGAGGAAGGACTATAGAATAGGGATGGATTTGGTTATTCAAAACCCGATATCCGAACCAGAATTTACGAATATCATGTTTTTTCTGATCCGGATCCGCCAACCTTAAAACCGGGAGGAATCTCTTTGAAGAGACTATAACCTTTAGAAGGACTACGAGGAAGGACTATAGAATAGGGATGGATTTGGTTATTCAAAACCCGATATCCGAACCAGAATTTACGAATATCATGTTTTTTCTGATCCGGATCCGCCAACCTTAAAACCGGGAGGAATCTCTTTGAAGAGACTATAACCTTTAGAAGGACTACGAGGAAGGACTATAGAATAGGGATGGATTTGGTTATTCAAAACCCGATATCCGAACCAGAATTTACGAATATCATGTTTTTTCTGATCCGGATCCGCCAACCTTAAAACCGGGAGGAATCTCTTTGAAGAGACTATAACCTTTAGAAGGACTACGAGGAAGGACTATAGAATAGGGATAGATTTGGTTATTCAAAACCCGATATCCGAAACCAGGACTTTTCGAAGAAATTTTTGGAAACCTGTCCCGAGTTTTCTGTTTCGTTATTGTCTAGATTTCAAAAAAAATATTTATTCATTTTACCATTTCATAATTAAAATGATATAAAAAATTAACTTAAAATTCTCACTTCCCTTTTCCACTTAAAATACTTCCCCCTCTTCGCGCCTTTATTTTTTTATCAATTTTTTTGTCTTTCCCAACCCTTTTATTTCTTATTTTTTTTATCAGTTTTACTTCCTTAAACTTTTTTAATTGTTTATCGGCTTTTATATTTATTATCACTTCTTTTGACTGTTTATTTTCCGGTTTGTGGTAGTTCACATATTTTTACAACAATATTTCCAGTTCAGTTAATCTTCCGAGACGGAACTCGGAAAAGTATGAATTCAAGTATTCCAAATGACGGAAGACAGAAAATTGGGAAATCGCAAGAAAATTTTTATTTGAAAAATTTAAAAAGAATTTTAGATAAATTACTAGAAAAATTTTTTGTTCAAATTAAAAAACGGAACCTAAAAGAGTCGGAAATCAGAATTTCAATTTTTCAGCTCCCTTTCTGTCTCTAAATTACTTTTATGTTCAATTTGAGATTACTGTAAATGCTCTAATTAAAGCCTGGCTCTATTAGAAGCCCATATATAGTACAAGCCTATACAAGGAGCAGAGGTGGTCGAAATTTTGATTTCCGATTTCCGAGTTCCGACTTTTGAGCTAGTTCCGATTTCCGGCAACTCGGACTGTTCCGACCCACCACTGCCAAGGAAGCCCATTGAAAAATAAACGCTCATTTCCTAATATGTAGAAGTCCATATCTAATACAAGCCTACCCAAGGAGGCCCATTGAAAAATAGACACCCAGGGCTTTAATTATAAAGGGCTTTAATTAGCCAGGGCTTTTAAAACCCAGGGCTTTAATTTATTTAAATTTACTAAATTGTTTTTTAAAAATATTTTTGGACACAAACATTTAGTAATTTTTAAAATTCCGTTAAATTTAACTGCCCTTCCCTTTTCCCTGTTCCGCACATCTTTACTTCTTAAAATACTTCTCTCAAACAAAAAAATCTTATTTGCGTCCGTCTTTTTTTCTAAACATTGCGCGATAATTTACGCTTTAAATTAAAAAAGAAAAGAATTTTTGTGATGAACAAACTGAAAAAAAAAAGAAAATATAAAAATGTGTCCCTCTACCTACACGTCACGACTCCGCGAACTTCTCTTTTCAAAAAAAAATTTTTTTTCTAATTTTCTTTCGAAGATCACCGGTTAGTTCTTTTTCTTAGTTATAAAATGGTTGACCTAATATTTGGCTATGTTAATATACAAACATTTTTAATAGTCCTACTTTTTTTTACAAATTTTTGAGGATATTGCTGTACATCAAATTTATTCTAAATAAACTATAATTAATATTACAAATACAAGTATTTAATTATTACAAATCAGAATTTGTAAAAAAATCAGAATTTCTTTATTTTCCCGTCTTATATTCACAAATCAGAACTAATTCTGATTTGTGAAATTTATTAAAGTCTAATATTTAAATTTACAAATCAGAATTTGTAAACAACATAATTATCTAACTATTTTTAAAAATCAGAATTTGTAAAAATCAGAATTAATTATCAGAATTGTAATTTCTAATCAGAATTAATTGTAAAACTTATTCTTTTTCTGATAGGCTGAATTAAGTTGTATTATTATGCTTCTAGTTTACAAATTCTGATTATTATAAAATCAGAATTTGAAGACAGTTATGTTGTGTAGGTTATTTTTGAATTTTCAGATTTTTATTTATTTTTTAAAATTAAAAAAAATTATCATAGCAAAAATATTACTGTCTCTTATCATAATAATTAGTTATATAACAGGTATTTTGCAAATAATAATTATTATTTTTTTAACTTAAAGCAGAAGCAAAAAATCATTAATTATTTTATGTTCTTCAATTTTTCTCTCTTTTTTCTCTCTAAATAATTGGGAATATATTACTGATAATAACTAAAAAAAGGAATAAATTTGAGAGATATTATAACGACAAATTAAGCGAACACTTTTATTCTTTGCCGCACTTATTAATTTAAAACCATCAATTGCAACCCCGCCAACGCAAATTCGCGCAAAGTAAAAAATATATATTGCTGTTCTAAGAAACGGATGTGACTAAAATAAATATATTTTTGTCAGTGTCTCACATTTCTTCTCTTTTTAATATTGTATCTAATTTGTATAAGCTTGAACTTTAATCTAATTCTGATTTTATTTTATTATTAGGAAACGGAGTTATTTGATTTAATATCAGAATTTGTAAAAATCTGAATTATCTATAATAAATTACAAATCAGAATTTGTAAATATCAGAATTTGTAAAAATCAGAATTTGTAAACGAATTAATTAACCAGAATTTGTAATTAATAAACTAATTGTAAATATCAGAATTTGTAAAATCAGAATTTTAATTTGTAAACTTATAATTTGTAAAAATCAGAATTATAACAAATTACAAATCAGAATTTGTAAACGACATAATTATCTAACCATTTATAAATCAGAATTTGTAATTAATAAACTATAATTGTAAATATCAGAATTTGTAAAAGACATGTCTAACCAGAATTTGTAAATTTAATTATTAAAATCAGAATTTGTAATTGTAAACTTAATTAAATCAGAATTTGTAAAATCAGAATTTATAAACTTAATTATTAGAACCAGAATTTGTAATAATTTGTAAACTTACATAATTACTATCTTTACAATCAGAATTTGTAAAAAAAAACTCCTTTTTAGCAATCACAAATTATCTTTGGTCTTTCTCCTATTTTCTTTATGTTTCCGTCCTTTTTTATATTATGTATATTTTTTCTTCTTAAGCATTTACAAATTTATTCTTTTATTTTTACTTTACATAATGTGTTCTGCTACTCTTTTATGTGTTTCCTTTTTTAGCACCTCGAAGATTTTTTTCATATTTTTAAGCACAATAGAATGACACCTACGCATATTTAATGCCTTAGGCCGACAGCGTTATCCGCTACTTATGTTAAACATTTTTAGCGTTAGCTGCAAGAAGTTTGCTTCAAGTTTCTTGCTTTGCTTCATGTTTTTTGTATTGCTTCAAGTTTCTTGATTTGCTTCAAGTTTCTAGTTTTGCTTCAAGTTTCTAGTTTTGCTTCATGTTTCGTGTTTTGCTTCAAGTTTCTTTTTTTTGCTTCAAGTTTTTTGTTTTGCTTCATGTTTCTTGTTTTGCTTCATGTTTCTTGTTTTGCTTCATGTTTCTTGTTTTGCTTCATGTTTCATGTTTTGCTTCATGTTTCTTGTTTTGCTTCATGTTTCATTTTTTGCTTCATGTTTCTATTTTCAAGCTTCTGATAATTTTGCTTAATGGATTTTTTTATAATTTGGTCTTGCTGCAATAAATTTTGCAATAAAATCTGGAAAATCCTTCACTTACCTTTTCAACCTATTTTTAGTATTTACGCCTCAATGCTTAACAGATTCCTAACGAATTTTATATATTTTTTAAATTTATATTTTCTATGCTAATTTTTCTTTCTTTTTTGCCATCATTTTTCCTTTTTCGGGTTAACTTAGTTTATTATATTTTTTAAGTTATTTTTGTGTTTTGTTTTTTTCCAACATTTCTTTAAATATTAGAAAATGTTGTGGGATTGTTTTTTTTTTGCAAAAAATTTTTTTTATTTACTACCCTTCAGAAAAAAAAATAAAATAATAATACATTATTTCTCTAGAATGAAAATAAGGTAGGTAAATGCTACAGATACTTTTCAGAATTGTTTTCAGAATTATATAAATGCAAATAACCGTAATATTTTCAGAATTCTATCAAGCTCTTCTTTTTACAAAAATTCTGATTTTTTAAATAAATTCTGATTTTTTACAAATTCTGATTTCCTGTAAATTCTGATTTTCACAAATTCTGAATTTTACAAATTCTGCTTTTTACAATTCTGATTTTTTTAAATTCTGATTTTTACAAATTCTGATTTTTACAAATTCTGATTTCTTTTAAATTCTGATATTGAATAATTCTGACTTTTACATATTCTGATTTCTTTTACAAATTCTGACTTTTACAATTCTATAATTTACGATTTTCAGAATTTTTTTCAGAATTTTAATTAAAAATAAAACAATTATTGTAAAATAATTAAAATAAATTTACGTTGTTGAAAACTATTTTTACAAAATAATTTTTTTGATAAAAATAAATTTTAATAAAAACATAAAAACAATTAATATCCATCATTTGCGTAATTTTATCAAAAAAATTTATTTAACAATAAAAATAATAATAA